AATGCTCCAATGACAAGAGGAAGCAAAGAAAAAAGAACAGAAACGAAAAGTTGGGTCTTGAGATCCCACATCTCCCTCCCACTTGCACCCCAGATCCACTAGGACATGATATAACCAGACCCCAGTTTCTAGCTCTGGTTAGCTCCCGGGCATAAGGCCGAGTTCGAGTTGCGGTAATGCAGAGAAGACTTCTTTTTGTTTTCTCTCGGTTCCATTTTCTGCCCCGCCGCGCGATTATCTAACTTAGGATCCAGGAACAGAACAGTTATCTACTGCTGCATGTAACCTTGGGGCTTTTTGTCAGTGTGTTACCGTGTGGATGAAGACGGCCGGTACTTGCGGATAAGTGTAAATGAAGTGAACAATTGGTAACTACTAGGTACCTAGTCACAAGCTGTGGTGCCATCCAATCCATTTGATACCTTCTTACCCTGGCCAGGGCTACCTATCTTGGTTTCCTCGGCTTCAGTCGTTATGACTTCGTGCGGCATCTTCCACTGTTATACATACATATTATGTAGGCACTTACCTACTAACCACTCGAGAATTTTTGAGCCTCCTTCTTATGATCTTTCGTTGCCTCCTCCACACTCCGGCGTCTCCGTCTCCGTTCACGATTTGATTTGCATCCTGCCCCCAGACACTCGGCCCTTTATTGTTCTGGAGCGCAGCCAGAATAAGAGGTCAACTCCTAACAAGCGGGTCTTCAGCACACCCAACTGTTTGCGGCATCAGCCTAATACACCGACCACACCTAAAATCAGACGTTTAGGTTGGGAGTTGTCAAGAACGTCACCACTCGTGCCAACTTCCAGAGTCTACAGCCATTACCGGGACGTCACCCTGCAGAAGGAGGTGGCAGCAAGCGTGTGAAACAAGTCGTTACCTACATATGTATTCTTGAGAACAGACCAAAGGGGAACAAGAGGGTGACATCCCGTCATTTTACCCCACGCAATACCTGTGCTTCCGACCTACCTACCTTTACGGTCATAAGCATAGTATATCCATAATCCAGGCCAGGGCCAACAGCACGCACACCCACCTCCACATCATCCTACGCACACACATCCAATACATACAGTAGTTTGTCAACTGTCACTGTGCTACGGTATCTTTATTTCTTGGCTGCCTAACCTCACGGATACATAGTCTACCCCATTCCCACATTCTTCTCCCCCGACCTTCTACTCTATACTATACTATCTTGCGTATCTGTCCCTCCTCTCGCCAAAACCCGGACTCGCTCGCTTATACCAACATTGTCCGTCACTATCCCGTCATCAAGGTCATCAACCATCATTATGGACGCTCCCTCCAGCTCAACTTCCAACTCCTCGGCTCAGCAGTCTCCTTCTGTACAGATGGTCCCCCAACCTGCTCCCGCTCAGGGTAATAACGGTCCTTCGACCGACGCCTTTCTCCAAGACTTCACGCTCATTGCCGAGGCTGCCAAGCGGGCGCAAATGGCCATCATGATACGCGACTTTGAAGAGTGTGGCCTGTAGGGGACTTGCCTCTTTCGGTCACGTTCGCCATGTTCTCCCTTCTCCCAAGGGCGATGATAGGAAAAAGAAAAACCAGAAACAGAAGCCATAATCATGCCTGTCTCGACAACAAGAGCCTGTCTCGACAACAAGAGCCTGTTCAGCTCTGCGCATCACTACAAGTTGTCATTGGGGGATTTATGCGACTGTGGCATGTTTGGCTTATCGCATTTCACCAATCACGCCTCATCAATGCCTTGTTCACATTCTTTGTCTTTTGGCAACTCAACTCGACCCAGGGCAACGCTTATCGATGGATCCTTTTCTTGCATTATTGAAAATGGTTCGATGGCATCTTTCGGCATGTGTTTTCCCGACGACGATAACGATTTGCCTAGCTCACTCGCGCATATGAAGTGGGCCTCATTCATCCATCGCCCATAGCGTCGGCCCTTGATCCGATGAAATGTATCGGCTGCTGTTCTACTAGAGTCAACGTGGGATTGTCGGGCCGGGGACCACAGCGAGGCAATCGTATTTCCGTTTGGCGCTGACGCAATTGACGGCTTTTTATCCGACCAAGGAAGTTTAAGCCTCCATTCTTGTGATCGACCGCCATCCTCGGCTCGGTTTCTTCTCTGCAAACAACCGACAAAGACGCAACCAGGGACTGTCGTCATACCAACAGCATCTCCAGTCTATCGCATTGCATTGCATTTCTTTCTTTCGACACATGTATTCCTCTCTTTTTTTTAACCCTTTACAACAGCGAACATCCCGGGGTTAATGGCGTTTGGTTCAAAAATGGAGGCACATGAACGACCTCTTGTTTTTTGTCTTTTTTTTCCCCTTCTCTCTCTCCACTTCTGCGACGGGATAGTTCTATGTTGCTGCTACTGCTGCTGCTGCTGCTACCACATAGATGGATGATTGGATGTGATGATATATATACCACGGGCAGGTTGTTTTCTTTTTGGCATTACTCATAATCTTGCAACAAAATGCTACGGCTATAATGGGAATGATGTGCATGGATGATACTCCCAGTACTACAACGAAATGAGACAGCTATTCACAGTACCTCCCTACTTGATATGCAATCTTTACCTACTAAAGAGTGATACAACGTCAAATTTGTCTTGAACTTTAGCTCGTGCCTCCGAGGCAGGTACATTTACCGGCATTTCTTTGGCCTTGAGGAACCAAATGCACGTGAGCTCATTTGTACCTAGGTATATCCAGCTTTTTGGGCACTTTCAGTTGGCACCCAGCCAGCTCCACTGTTCAGGCAAAGCTACCAGCATCACAAGTAACTACCTTACCTATCTTACATTCAGCCGTGTACGCGCAGTTGAAAGTATGCGCTTGAGATGGCATACATAGCTCGCTTATTAACATGGGGCTATCGTGCTACGGGACAGAGCATGGGAGCATTGGCCAGTGTCCAACCCCAGGTTCAGCTTCAGCCTTCAAGCCGCTGACTGGGGAAGAGGTTGCAACTAAAACGACATCACCATGTGACTCCCCTCCGTGTGCCGCAAATTCAAAGTCACCAGGATATCAGAACATCACGATTTATCTCAAAAGTTCCCCTATCTCTTCCCTTTTCTCTTATCCAAGCCTGGTCACCACGAGCCCTCCCCCGCACTTGACTGAGGTTCTAGGACGGCGCAGCAGAGACCTAACAAGGTAGCAAGACTTTGTATCGGTCAATTCCGTGTCTATCTGGATCTCCCTGCTGGAGGACCAGGTGTTGCAACCCTCCATCTCATCAAAAGATGGTGGCTAGGAGCGTGGAGGTCACACACTACCTTACATAAACTGAAACTCTGCTAGGTATACTGTACAGATACACAAGGCCATCTGGAAGGCTGATAATGTCTTCATGAGGCTCGAGCGTTGGATGCCCTTGACATGATGTATGCCCCCTGACGTTTCAACACTTTTCAGCTTTGGTGCATCCATTTCCTATCTGGCCTATTCTGACCCGGGGAAATCCTTCCGTCTGCAGGACACAACCAACTGCATACAACCCATGATCACACCATGACTTCGCAACATAGCGAGTCGAACCAACAATATGATTCTCGAGGCTGAGTATCTTGATCCTGGTACTCAGTTTCAACCCCCTTGCAAGCAGAGCTCCCAGCCATTTGACTTTCCATAGTTAATAGACCATCCATAGGCACAGCAATGCATTCTCCTGAGCCCGAGTTGAGTATCTCAACTGCTCGAATCAAAATGACCGCTCTTTCTGAGCAGCCTGTGTTCAAAGAGCTGATCACTCTTCTTGTCAAACTTTGTGCCTCTGACGATGATCCCAACTATCCCAACTTTGAAAAATGCCAGGCTGCCAGTTGCAGGACTGGCACTAAGGGGAAGCAAGAAGAAGCCAAGGCGGTATGGAATAAATTGATGGAAAATGAAACATTCTCAAATGAGGTCGAGTTCTATTCGACGGTTAAAGAATTTCTCCCGTTGGTTCACTGCAAGAGGCATAATTCGGGCGGTTTCCTTGAAGAGTGCTTTGGCGACTGGGAAAGGTTCCGAACTAAGAGCTCAGGTTACGCTTCATCTGAAGTGTTACTACCTAGTACACCGACTCAGGATCAAGTCTTCGAATCGCCTACTGTGGGATACGGTACACCTCTCTCAAGTCCTCTTGTCGACGACGGCACACCAACAACATCAGAAAAAAGTCTGGCTTCCAGCTTTGACAGTTTCATCCTGAGCACCCCCAGCAGGATAGACCATCACAACCCTCTCCCTACGATTGAACATACGTCAACATCTGACGAGAGCCCGAGATATGTTCCCCCATTTCCACTCGGCATTAATTCGACTCCTGACAGGGCTGTTGATGTTGGTCAGCAAGATAACATTGTTCCAAGCATTACCGAGGTGAATGTTGTAACCCCCAGAGATCCTCCAAAGTCGCTCCCTATTCATTCCAGGCAAGATTTTGCCGCAGAACAACCCGACATGGCGGAGTCCATTATGGACGAAACAGTTATGAAGGAGAATGAACCGGATGATGAGCCACGACTTGTCCACCCGCAGTTTAGTGGACTTGGGTTAAAGAGAAACGGAACTTTGAGCGATCAAGCCGCCATCGTGTTGGAATTAAGGAAGCCTCTCACGCATGCACAGGCGGGAGAGGGCAAGGTGTATGTCCTGAAGCACAGGGAACAGAAGGATCTGTTCAAGATTGGATGGACCGCTACTACTGTCAACACAAGTCTATCACGGCCCAACAACTGTTATGGCGCATCATGTGAGACCAAGCCAGTCTACGAGTCTCCCAATTTATTCAACGGTGCTCCCAAAGCCCATAGACTGGTGCACTTGTTTCTCAGGGACATCAATGTACGGGTTAAAAGGTGTAAGAAGTGCGGCAAAGGGCACAAGGATTGGTTCGAAGGAGGTGAAGAGGCTATTGTGGACGCAGTCAGGGTCATGGAAGGCTTTTCACGAATGCCTGCCTATGAGTTGAAGGAGAAGGGAGAGCTCTCGGATGAAGGGAAAGCATTGGTGAAGAACATGTGCGACGTCACTCTCAAGTCATTCCAAAGGAAACAAGAGTCTGAAGGAATCCCAGGCCATATCACTGGCGCCGAATCTTTGACGATTCCACATACTGTGGTACCTGAAGCTACGGTTGATGTACAATCACGACAGGGTAGGGTCGACGAGTCGTCAAGCCAGCCAGAAGCACTCGCCGCAGCCACAGATGCTTCTAAGGAACTGGAACCACCCTTGATGGCGAACAAAGGTGGGCTCCGCAAAAAATTCAAAGAATTGTATGGTACCATGAAGGACAAACTCTCCAAGGATGATTATGACTATCCCTTTGCACTTCTCAAGGCCCTCCGACCAAGACAGTGACAACACTGAGAGGCCTCGCAGGTGGAGTCTTTTGGGAGTTACGTGGGCCAAGTTCACGGCTATCTTCAAGAGGTCGGTCGGTTGAACCAGATGCGAAGAAAGCGAGTCGATGACTGGTAACGTATGCCTGCATAGGCGAGGCGAGTAGAGTATCTGTATTGTAGATCAGTTAGTTATGTTTGAGTAGGTTGCTTGTTTGCTTGTCGGCTTCTGTGTATCTAATCGCTATATCGCTTGTCTGATCCCTCTACTCAGTATCTCGTGAGCAGATGCTTTGTCGTGCGTCGTTACAGGGCATAAGTGTGTAACCACAGATCTGACTATAGTTGCTCCCGTGGGCCCTTTGTACCGGCCTGTTCATGCAAGTCATTTACCAAGCAGGGAACAGACCAATTAATTATATCACTCACTACGTTGCGGTTGAGGCTCATGCTCATGGTCGAAGACTGGGAAACATAAGTAGGTAGTTATTGACGTTTTTCAAGCCCCTACCATCATTCTTAAGACCTTGTGTCAATGAACCATTGTTTCGCCCGTCAACATCTTATCTTACATGAAAGGTGCCGTATCTAGGTACCTCGCCCAATCACTTATTCATGAATACATATAGTACATACCTACCTGGTAAGAGACAGCAACTCCTCAGAGAACAAAGCTAATGGAAGTTTAGATGCCTTCCACAGGGCATTTAGGTAGTTACCTAGCGTACGCGCTAGGCGAGGGCCTACAGAAGGTGCTCCGGATGTCCGTACAAATTCTCCTTCCGAAACTTGAGTAACTCACGCGACCGAATGAAAAATGATTTGATTCTGCCCTTTTCATCTCCAACCTCAGTATCTCAACTACTTACCTAATAGTAAGTACCTACATTATTCTCCTCAAGCAAAGACACGCTTCTGTAATCACTGATACCGATTGCTAACCTCCACAGCTTTCATGGCTCTCCACAAACGTCCCTCTTTCGTCATTGTCTAACCCCACCATCCTATTCCATCCCGAACTTATATCGATCCATCCCGAGCCGACAGGACCCTCCCCCTCACCTCATAACGCGCGCTATCTGAGGGCTCGAGTTGTATCCCCAGGTCGAGCAAATTTATTCTTCACCTTTCATCACCGCCACATAGTCTCGCTTTCGTATTCCCCCTCCCCCATAAGCGCCAATGGCTACCGAAAACCCTTTGGAAGACCGCATCTCGACTGTTCCCTTCGCAGAGCAGGGTGAGAAGTGGGATAGTTGCTGGACAGAGGCTTTAACACCATGGGACCGCGGGACCGCCTCCATTGCTCTTCACGACCTCCTCGCTCAAAGACCTGATCTCGTACCGCCCTCCCAACATCATGATCATCGTGGCCATCCCCTCCGAGACTCAGCAGGCGCTATTGAAAAGAAGAAGGCTCTAGTCCCGGGTTGCGGGCGTGGTCACGATGTTCTGCTTTTGAGCTCGTGGGG